TTGGCGAGGCATTTTATAGTGGTAAACAGTGAACTCACACCAGCCGTACAAGGCCTCCCTATTAGTTAAAAAACGTGGTGTGAGTGGTGTGACTGGGGGGGCGCTGTATTAAAATTACCAGCGCCCCCCTCCCGCTGATCTGAGCCATTCATTGCTGTACTTATGGACACGTGTATGGATGTAGTAAAAATGAAGTCACACCCGGGCCCAGGTGTGAGTGGTGTGAGTACTTTTGATTCCTTTGTCAGATAGTGCTATACACGTGTCGCTCTTCTGGTGGTTTGCGTGGCTGTAAAGAAAATATTTTTGCAGAATGATAGACATAAAGCAAAGGCGGGAAAATAAATGCGTTTGAATTATTTTGAATGGGGAATCTTCGTCCTTACACGAGGGCCACTTTTGCTATATATTTGGTACCATAAAATATTTTATGGCATAGTGGAATATGTTTTTGCAGTGGGATAGCTATTGTGGTGAGGTTACTTTTTGGTACCTTATTTCGTCCCTCCTTTTCTTTTTGTCTTTTTTGTTGATTTATTTGGTATACAATGTTGTGCTCCTTAGAAGAGTATCTCGAGAATTACGGGCAGTTCACTCAAATGTGTGTAGATCGCTTCTTGACGTGGCAAATAGGGCTGTGGAAAGAGAGCCGGCGGTCAGCTCCGGCGAAGTTTGTTCCGGTGTACAAGGAGCAGAGGGCAAATATATCAAAGCTAAGGTATCTGAACAGAAGGGTTAGCAGAGGTAAGAGAATCAGCAGAATTTGTAGGATAAAAGATTTGGAGTGTTTTATAAAAAATGGAAAGAATAGGAAGCAGCCAGTATCAAACCCCCTTTGCGTACCGGAGGTCAAGGACACCGGCGGTCAGTGAATATAAGCGGAGTTACCGTAATCGTGCACCTTTTAAGGCGGCGTACATTTGCCGACGGTACGTTCAGATTATTCCGCGTTATATTAAGAAGACTAAGAGGGGAGTAAGGAAGTTGCAGTTGTACAATGAACAATTAAGGGACGTTAAATTTGATAATAAAGGTGTAGCCAGATTGCTTAATAGTATTGAGTTGGGTAATAAGAGATGTGACCGTCAATCAGACAAGATCGTGGTTAATGGTATAAAATTAATTGAGAATGTTCAATTGGGACAAGATGCTAAAGACGAAGCTGTGGTCTACCACATATTATTTTTCATCATAAGTGATAATAGTCCGTAAGATTCCGTCCCCACACCTGACAAGATATTTATTGGAGTTGGGGAGGGTAATCCCGAGACCTAGATTGTTGATCCTGACCAGTCCGACCGCTTTCGGATGCTAAAGAAAATGAGATTCAAGCTCGTTGGTGGCAAGGATAAAGAGTATGTTCGTCACGGAATAGAAGTTGTAGATCGGTTCTTCCCAGTTGATGTTTGGACGGATTACAAAGATACGCTGTTGGGAAATGTTGGAAGTATTCAAAAGGGTGCTATATATTTAGTGGATGTTTGAATGTATTGCAATAAATTGTAAGTATAATGTTGTTATCAGATACAAACAAATTTTTTATATAAAATTAGTCTAAAATTAGTGAGTTCCTCTCATTTCTATCCAATATTATACTTATTTTGTATGAATTTTTTTATTTTTTGTTCAGTCTTCCAAATACAAAGGAAGTTATTAAAATCTAGATTAAAACACTAACGACTAAGGCCCCGTTTGGTAGAGCTGTGAGAAAGTGATTATAGATTATAGCTTAACAGCTTATAGTTTATAACTATGAACATAAGCTGATTTTTGATTTATAAATTAAGTTTCTTCTCCCCCACTCAAAGAACAAGTTGATTTTTGATTTACAAAAAGTTATAATCTGTATAGTTAAGCTGAACCAAACACATCGAAATAGTTTGGATTAAGCTAAAAGCTGAAATAAGCTGGAAATAAGCCCTACCAAACAGGGCCTAAGTAAGCCAGCTTATTGATTTATCATCTTATGTGAATTATATTATCTCTCTATTTTTTTTGTACGTCCTTTCGTAATAAATAAAAAGTCAGCTTATAAAATAAGTTATTAAAATCTAGGGCATCGTTCGGGAAGATAGGTTGTGGGTTTTTTTGGCTATTTTAGACATAAAAGACAAAATAGGCTATTTTAACCACAACAAACAAAACATCACATCTAATCCATAATCATTACACTTTTCTCTCACAAAAAAAGTCAAAAAAGTCAAAAAGCCAAAAAGCCAAAAAGCCTTTCCCAAACTAAGCTTTTTAGCCCAGGCTAAAATAATCAAAAAAAGCCAAAAAGTCAAAAAGCCAACCCACTTCCCAAACCAACCCTAAATAAGCTAGCTTATTGATTTATTACTTTATGTGAATTATATTTTCTCTCTATTTTTTTTGTACACCCTTTCATAATAAGCAAAAAAATCAACTTATAAATTATGCCCAAAACAATTCTAAAGTCTCACAACCATCAATCGTAAAATGATTCACGGTCTAACCCAAGTGATTTTGAAAAGACATTTATGTACCAATTTGAGATCTCAGGTTCAATTATATGAAGAGGCATCAGTGTGCGTATTAATGTTATTTATAAGCACATCCTATCTTGTGTAAAATAAAAAATAATAAAAAAATCAATACTTAAAAAAAATAGTGCGATACAAATAAATAAATTTATAAAGTTTTCAAATTCCAAAATTTCATCTTTGCATGTCATACATGTTAGTTCAATTTTTATTTTATTTTATTTATAAAGTTTGTTAAAAAAATAACAGGATTCTTTGGTCATTTCCCAAGTGTGGAGTTGTACTAATCTAGGGTGTTTTTATTTTTTTTAAAAATAATTAATTAAATTTATTATTTGGACAAATTACATATACCCCTTTGAGATTTAGCAAAATTACAGATACCTCTTGAGATTTGAGAAATTACAGATATTCCCCTTGAAGTACTATTTGCATAACAAATTAGGAGGCAAGTTGTTATGAAAATATAAACCTCAAGGGATAATTTGTTCTGAAAATATAAACTTCGAAGGGTATCTGTAATTTCTGAAACTTTAAAAAATATCTATAATTTGACTAAATCTCGAAAAAGATATATAATTTGCCCTTATTATTTTAAAATATCTTTTTCTTGTTGGTTGCAAAAATTGAAGTGGTCAAAGAATCTTAAAAAAATAAAATTAGATTTGGGAGGGTGAAAAGTGCTGGGTGCGTGCAGTGGTTTTTGAGGGGATCAAGGTCACACGGTTGGCCACTTGGACCACCCCCCATGCCATCTTCTTCTTTTAATACCTTTAGAATTCTTTTTTTAATTTAATAAACTTCATAACATGTCACAAATATATGTATATATGTATAGTATGTAAATTATACTAGTATTATATAGTACTACTAGTATTAGAAAAGTGAGACATATATATATGAATATATACTTGGATGGAGGCCAACTTTGGAAAGAACACTTGTACGGATTATTGTATTGTATTTTTCATTGATTACTCCTTTGCTTTTAACGCTTCATATTCCATTCTCACCCTTCTCCCCCCTTTCAATTAGGGTTGGGCTTTGAGGGATGCTTGGCGTTTATCATAAATTTTATTTTGATAATTTAAATTATTTATTTTATAAATTTCTCTGTATATATTATTAATAAAAAAAAATCAAATCCATAATTATAACTTTTTTATTTTATTTTACCGTGTTTGTCTTAAAAAACAATAACGTTTTGTTCCCCAAATCTTTCTTCCTCGAATGTCCAAAATGATGTCGTTTTGGATTCTCTTACCGGTAAAATATATTAAAATTCTCTTATCGGTAAAATAATTTTTATTAATTAACTCTCTCGTAAAACGAAATTACCGTTTAAAACGACGTCGTTTTGAATTCGGGACAAATTTGAGCTTGGAAATTTTCGAACTACGTATCATTACTGCTTAAAAAATTAGACCATCTATTTTATTGGCCAGCCTATTAGTTGGAGTTATTATCCAATAAATTTAGAGTGAGGTCTTTACAGACATATTAGTTTTAAAAATTGTACTTTTTGTTATTGAAAATTGTTTGGAAGGTGATGAGTTTGTTGTTAAAATCGATATGAATTTATAATTGTGGTTTAGTGGATTGAGTTATGAGGATAAAATCGAATATGTGACCTATTAATTTAGAGTAGGGCTTATTGGGCGTTTAGTTTGGTCTATAAGTCCATAATTTTAAAAGCCTGAATTCACTATTTGGGCTCGACTTCAGTATTGGACTGAGATCAGCTTACTAGACTGAGCCAGAAAAAAGTACAAGAAAACGTTGTATGGAGCCCTAAGAAGATGGGCTTTTTTTTTTTTGGGTGGTAAATTAGCTTAAAGTTCCAACATTTGGGAGTAGATGGATCCACATTTCACAACATCAAGTCATTCTTCTTGGGTCCATATGATACCTAAGCCCAACTAAGGCCTGTGTCTGAAAAGGTTTCATTTTCAATTTATTTTCTTCTAAGAACATTTTTTTTTTTGGGTATGGAAATACCAAAAAGTTATTTTCTTCGAAGTTTCAAAAATTATTTTTATATAAATGAAAATGATGGGTGTATTAAAAAATTCACCGTTTTGTTTCTAAAATCACAAAAATAAAAAAAATAAAAAATTTAAACAAGACGCAAATACTGCACTAAATAAGTCAAGTAAAAAGATTCCTTAAAAAAATGGGAATAATATGTTGATCCAATATAAAACAATAAGTCTACTAATAAAGAACTATATATATAAAACAATTCAGACTATACATATCAAATGGTGGGGCTATCATAAAAGAAATAGTTTCACTTAGATTGTTCCATCTATACGATAATCTTAGGCTCAACAAATCTGTTTTGATATTCCAATCACTTGACATCAAAATCACAACATTTAAACCCCCCCAAAAAAAAAACACAATGCAATGCAATGTCTAAAAAATAATATTTCAATGATTTCGTTTTCAAACAAGAAAGAGAGCTTTTAGTTCAATCCAAACCAATACATAAAAAACCAATAAAATACAATGTCTAAAACTGTCCTCACAAACGCATAGTATATAATCTATGTGAAAGATTTATTAATCATAAAGATTCATGAGCCTGTGACCAAAGCTGAAACAAAACTACTGAGAATTGTGTGTACTATGAATCATCATCTAGAGCTCATCCTTGAGAGAAACTTTTTTAGGGTTATCAGAGGACAACTTGATAGGGTATGATGCCTCCTTGGCTATGCCACAAAGTCCCTCCTCCGCGTCGACCATCCTCTGCATCCTTATGTAACCCTGTTCTCCCCATTCTGGCCCCCATGAATTTTTCACTATCCAATATTTTGTGCCATCTATGGTGGTTCCATAGCCCACCGCTGCCACCCCGTGGTCCAGCTCTGTGCCACAAGGGCCGGTAAACACTCCCTGAAATGAAATTGCACAACCATTCAAAAATAAATTTTCAATTTATTTATTTTTTGCTGCAACTTATAAATTGATATGTTTTAGGATTTATTTTTGTTTTTAGTGAAATTTTTAGAATTTTAAATCAAAATATTTTACTTTTTAATTAAAAAATTTTGGTAAAGGCAAAAATAAACCAACTTTTTATAGGCTTTTTCAACAAAATTTTGGTTTATTTTAATCATTACTCTTTTTATTATTTTTTTGAAATTTATTTAATTTTCAAAATATCTATTCTAGGCCAATTTGAAAATTAAAGGCTCCGTTTGGTAAGCAATTTGCATTATAGTTACATTCATTGATTTGAGTGCGTTGTTTGTTTTGAGTTTTCAAATCATAATTCTACACTCATTTCTTAAAACTCAAGTCAAAACATAATCATTACTTTTCAAAACTCATAACCAAACACATAATTCAAAACTCAATTCAAATCAATATTTTAATTTTTTAAATATTTTAATATTTAAATATGTTACGATTTTTTAATTTTTTGAATATTTTTAAATATTTTAATTTCAAAATATTACGATTTTAATTTTTTAAATTTTAAAATATTTTAAATAAATTCAAACTCTATTTTATATAAATATTTTTAAATATTTTAATTTTTTTGTTATGTATTTGGTTACGATTTGAGTGTAGAGTTGTGAAAATAATACGAAGTTTCGAGTTATGTTTTTGGTTATGAGTTTTAAAAATAATTTCTTAATTGAGTTTTGTTTTATGTGTTTGGTTACGATCTGAGTGTACAATTGTTTTTTTTAAATTAAAAATATTAACATTTTAAATTATTTAAATATTTATTTTAATTTTTTACTTATTAAATTTTTTAGATTATTTAAATTATTTAAATATTTATGATTTAAATTTTTTGAATAGTTATTTTGAAAAAAATTATTTATTTTGTAGTATTTTCAATTAAAAAATTGATTAATGTTATTTTCTATTAATAATAAATTTTTTTAATTGAATTTTAAAAAGAATTTGGTTATAAGTATTGATTAGAATTTTTAATAGTGTGAAAGTAGTGTGTTTTGTTATGAGTTATAACAATTTGAATTAAGTTTTGAAAACTCTTTCCAAAACTCATAACCAAACAAATTTTCTTACTTCACATGTCAAATCAAACTTTCAAAATTTAATTCCATACTCAATTCAAAAATCATAACCAAACAAATTTTCTATACTCAAATCATAATTTCACAACTCATAAACTCAAAACACAACTCATATTCTCAAATCATATTTACAAAACTCTTCCAAACGCAACCAAAAATTCCGGCATAACTTCTTTAAAAAATCATTAAGGACAAAAATATGTCAAAAAGGTCAATTTATAAGCTCGCGCCAAAGAAAGTAGTAGTATATATGACTTACCTCCGAGTAGAATTGCAAATCAGAACCACCAGCGTCAATTCCAACTGATACAGGTTGGTTTGCAACGGCTTTCATCAAGGCATTTTCGTCGTTTTCAGGCACGTTTTCATGGCCGTCAATCATCACCACCGGAGAATTCATCTACGCAAAAAACCAACAAAAATATTCGTTTAATTAGATGCTTACTGAGATGTCAGTTCATTCTTTCTAACATTTTTATTAAAAAAAAAATAGAGCATACTTTTGATGAATCACAGGACCCATCTTGGGCATTGTAAGGGTAAATTATCTCGGTTGTTAATCCGCCATTTTTCTTGATGAATTCGAATGCATTTTCCATTAATCCGCCATTGCAGCCTTGGTTGTCGGTTTCGCAATCAACAAGTTCTTGCTCAGAGAGAGAGACTAACTCATTTGTTTTGATTTTGTTGATACCTTCAACTGCAACTACTGCTGAAAATGCCCAGCAACTACCTGTAATTTGTAAAACATCAAAAGCAAATTATTGTTGTGGAAAACAAAGCAATGTTGTGAGATGTATTAATGTTGTGTTTGGTTGAGGGATTTAAGGAAGGATTTGGAAAGGGAAATGGAAAAGGTAGGTGAAATATGAATAAAATATGCCTAAATTTCACATAGTTTCACACACCTTTTCCCTTTCCCTTTCCCTTTCCAAATCTCTCCCCAAATCCTTCAACCAAACACACCATAAAAGCAAAAGGAATACAGCTTCATATGGCTACATCTTATCAATTTAAACAATAACCCAACTTCTTAATATTGGGAATAAGCTTGTTAATTATAACAATTTGTCTACAATTATATATTGAGAATTTTAGTTGAGTCACAAACTCCACATAATTACTTCTCTTTGGATGTGAATTTGTGAAAAAATCTATTATCCCAACAACCGGTTCTAGCATGTGACTTTCAAAAAGTTACTGTTTATCTTCTAATTTTCAAATCTCTTTCATTATACTCCTCTAAAAAATTTGAAGTATTTATTAACAAGCTTGGAATAGTTGTATATACCTTACGAGAGTGTGCCATAAAGAATGTACAACTGTTTTACACTTTGTTAGCTAATACTCTTTAAGGCACCTATAAATTATATATATGCCCCTAATTTTTTTGTAGTCCATCTTTTTATTTTATTTTATTTTTTTTAATAAAACCCATAGTTTACCCATTCAATATTTATTTTGCTATAAAATCTCCTTTTATTTTATATTTTGTATATATATGATTTTAGATTGAATGGATTGATTGGTTTTTACTTATTAATTAATCTATGTTATCAAAAGTTTTGTACCTTTTCTAGCTTATATCCTAACTAAATAAAATGAAATACACGGATGACTTAATTTTTTTTTAATGATATATATAAAAAATATTACAAAACGAATGATTAGAATTATTAAAACAAGACCCGTATATCTAAATTATAGACTAAAAAGAAGCCTACTAAATGGATCCAACTCGACATTTTGCCTCAATTTTGCCTCCCTCCATGAAAATCTTAGCTTTGTCACTTAATTATCCTGACTAAAAAAAAAATTCTAAATGTACATAATTAATCATAAAATCGGATACAACTCTCACACATGAGATGAGAGATAAAAGAGTTATATCAAGTTTTATGATCAGATTCTGTGCATATAGAAGAACAGAACTTAAAATTACAAGAAATTTAACAACTTTTATCATCTTCAATGAAAACTTACCACAATTGCCTTGGTCTTTCACACCGGTGACAGCTCCTTTCTTCCTCCAATCAACCGACGGCGGCAGATTATCAGTCTTCTCATGCATGAACCCACCGGTACCGCTACGACCGCCATGTAGCATCCGGCAGTGCTTAACCTTAGATCCATAAGTGCTTCTGAACTCATGGTTAGTCATGTCACCAAACCTATTAAGCTTCAACTTATAAGGCTTGCCCATGTTGTTCACTTTGTGAATGTGCTTCACATTCTCCTTAAACACATTGAAGCGCTTCTGCTTCTCAGAGAGGTCCCGGGACACTGTGTGGTGGCTCCGCCACCTTTCGTACAGGTCCCATAAGCTCTCATCGGAAGATAAGTCCTTTTCAGTGAAGTCGATGCTCTGAACTAGCTGGGAAAGTATGGCTAGTGAAAGAGAAATCAAGATAATCTTTGATATGTTCATGGCTATGATATGATTTGATTTTTCTCAAAGAATGTAGTTTATGATCTTGTGGGCATGCACTAGAAATCAAAATGGAGGTGTGAGAGAACTATGGGTGGTGGTGATGACGATGGTTGAGATGATGGCGTTATGCAAGTATGCCCTTATATAGGAGTATGGAGGGATAGGCTTAGGGAAGCTTCCAAAATTTCTTTATCCATAGATGTCTAAACCTCTCTCCTTTTATTTTTCCCATTTTATTTATTTATTTATTTATTATTGTAAATTTTTTATTTAAAACTTATGGGCAAATTATACCCACGATTCTTATAATTTGCCTATTGCGTAAATTTAGTCAATCTAGTTCTAATTGAACTAATTTGCTCTTTAGTTTTTTCAGATTATAGCAATTTACTACAGTTGATAAAATTTGTTAAAATATTAGATAAAAATTAAGAACAAAATGGTCAATTAAAAAAAGATTGGACCGATTCAAATTATTTGAGAAGAGTGAATAGATTATTTTGATTTCAATGGACTATGATATGATGACAATCTCAAAATATAATTGTGCTACTGAAAGTACATTAAAACAAAAGGAGAGAAAAAAAAGAAAGAAAGAAAAGGAATTTCTAAATAAAAAATCCCCCTATGGGAGGGATATAGTCCACAGGGGATTTAAATCATCTCTTCATCGCATGATTGAAATGAAAATCTCAAATTCAATACATAAATTTGCTAACACATCATCAAATTTAAATTAATATCCTATAATTGTTGTGTCAATTTAAATTATACTAATGTCCATTTCAATTTTGTAATGAAATAGAAAAATTATCATATGAATCAAAGAAAAGCTTGTGGCCATGTGTCAATCTAATAATATCTTGACATTTCTTCATCATTTTTTTTGTTTTTTAGGCCATACAATTATTATACTCTTAGTATTGATTGGATACGGCACCAATATGAAAATTTTAAAAGATAAAATAATTATTTGTAAGGAAGAGAATCCAAATCCATTTAAAAATACTAGTATGGCACCGGTTAGTACAAGGTCTTAGCAATTCTTCATAGCTTTTAGCGTAGCAACAGCAGTGCTACAGAGCTACAGAGCACTAGTAGAGCTGCTCTAAAAGTAGCTCTATTGAGGTGGCATCCCACTTTTAAAAAAAAAAATTAAAAATTAAGTAAAAGACAAAACAAAAAGTAGAAAAAAACAAATTAATGCTCATTTAGAGCTCCAATTTTAGAGGTCTAAACCATTTTTGTTTTAGCAAAGGTGAAGAGTTTGTTATTATGTTATTATAGAGACACGATTTCTTTGCAAGTGTATGATGAAAAAGTGCTTCAAAACTGCTGTTCATCTAATAATTATAACCACTTTTTTAAAAGCTTGCTTCAACATAACAAGAATTGCGTGTATGATTATGATATATTTCATGTTTTGGCAAATATTTTTTAACAATCTTTATTTATTTATTTAGATTTTTTGGTGATAAAAAAAAAAAAAAAAAACCCTTAAAAAACAGTCAGTCACACAAGATTAATCAAGGGTTTGGCTTCTTTTTTATACAGAGACGTCTTTAATTCTGTCAAATTAGGCTTGTAGAACTTATGATAGGTTTCATTTCGATAATTTAAATCGTTTATTTTAATTTCTCTTGCACCAAGTGAACAGTTTTCAACAAGTTCATTTTGAAATACAAATAGACATGGATCAAGTATACAACACAAGCAGCAACTGCAAATAGATCCCAAAAAATAAAACATAATATGTACTCTTCATTCAATCATAAATATGAAATTTAACATATTTGCAAAAGAGGGTACTCACAGTAGAACTGCAATGCCCTCATTAAGAAAAGTTTTTCAATTATATATGTGACTTTACATCCCTTTCTAATAATGTGTCTGAAAGTTGAGAGCTTGTATCGTTTGGATAGGAATTTTTTTTTGGACCATATAAGTTAGAACACATCCCTTTATAATAAGGAAAATACTATAAATTTCAAATAATCTATTAAATTTTTTATCAAACCTTCACATGAGTGTGAGACCCACACAAACCCACATTTGTGGATCCCACACCAGAAGTTTGATAAAAAATTTGATAAATTATTTAAGGTCTTCGACATTGTTAACATATAATATATCTCCACTACCATGTATACATATAATATATACCCCTACTAGACCTTGTATCTGTAAAGGCCACAATGCGTAGCTGTAAAGGCCACCACTTTCACTTTAGCTTTAGCCTATCTCAATGTAATTACCAGGCATCCGATTCCATTTGTCTCCTTCTCCTCTCTATAAAGAGAGGGAGCTCACTCTTGTATTAACACAGAAACATAATACAACTACATCAATTCTTCAATTCAGTCTCTCTCTGTTCTCTTCCTCCTTTCCAATCTTTCATGGTATCAGAGCCCAGAAATACAATTCTGGCATCCCTCATTTTTGGTACTTAGTTCCGTACACAGTGGACTATACCAAACAGCTCGGAATCTCCTTACGATTCCAACGGCACCAAGCCCATCACCAGAAAAGCCCTCACGCGCCGATTCTTTGCTCGGCGCGTCTCTGCCTCCGTTGCCACTCTCACACGCGCTGCCACGCGCCTTCCACCCGGCCCTGTCGTGCGCCGCACCTGCTACCGTGCACCCGCGTGCGCCGTTCGTCTACCGTGAGCCGCGCGTGCGCCGTTCCGCTATTGTGCACCCGCGTGCGCCATTCTGCTAACATACGCTGCCAGCCCCCTCTGCTACCGTGCGCCGCCCGTCCTCCCTGCTAACGTGCGCCGCTGACATCATTTTTCATCCTGCTGACATCATCCCTACACAGCCCACCTTTCCTAGCTATTTTCGACCTTCCGGACTCACTGGTACACTCTGTTTTACCTAATTTTGCTCCTACAGGTCTCTCCCTATCTATTTAGCCCTACTCCACTACTATTATGGATCGTCCTGATGCCTCCCATCCCATTTCCGTTATTTTGGATGGTTCCAACTATGTTCTATGGGCCCAAGCCATGTCTTCCTTCCTCAAAGGAAAGAAGCTCTGGCGAATTATCACCGGGGACATGACCCAACCGGTCAAAGACACTGCTGAAACCACTATTTCCCCTGCTACTCCTACATATGAAGATCGCCTTGAGGAATGGGACAGTAAGAATTACCAAATCATTACCTGGTTTCGGAATACATCTGTTACCTCTATCAGTCTTCAGTTTGGCCGCTTTCAGCTTGACTCTGTCACCACTCCTGCCAAAGACATCTGGGATTTTTTGAAAGAACGATACCAGACTACTGGTCTTGCTCATCAATATCAACTTCAGAGCCAACTTCATCGGATGCGCCAAGAATCTAGTCAGTCCATCAATGACTTCCTCTCTCAAATGTACTCCGTTTGGGACCAGCTTGCTCTTTCCGAACCAACTTGGCCTCACCCAGAAGATGCTGTTTTATTTACTGCTTATCGTAATCAGCAAAGGTTGGTGCACTTTCTCATGGCTCTCACTTCATCTTTCGAGCCCGTACGTGCCTCTCTTCTTCATCGCCATCCCTTGCCCACTCTGGAACAAGCTATTTCTAAGCTGCTATCAGAGGAGACTCGTCTTGGTACTCTCCAACCTCATCATGTGGACTCTGTTCTTGCCACTCCCCCGTACCGGCCATCATTCCCCCAGCGGACCACTGCCTGTCTCTACTGTCAGAATCGGGGCCTTCCTTCCACACATCTCCTGGTCAATTGCCCAGTCAGACCCTGCCGATATTGCAACAAACCATGAGTGATTTGGGCTCGCCAATTCCAATAGTGTGAAGAAAAGAATGAGAGAGAAGAGAAATGGTGGGTCGTCATTATAGAAATAGTGGGTCTTCATTCTCCTGATATTGGTTTTCATCTTGCTTAGTGTTCTCTCTCTCTCTCTCTCTCTCTGGGTCTTCATTACAGAGAAATGGTTTTTTTTTTTTTTTTGGTTCATAGAGTTCTACAAATGGTTTTTTTTTTTTTTTTTTTTTGGAACAAAAAAAAAAAAAAAAAAAAGTCTAAGGCATCAGTGCCACCACCATATCAGCAGCACTCACGCCCATCTCACAGCTGCAGCTTCAGATCCAGCTCAGCTTCTGTTCCTATATCTGTCTGTTAGAGATATTAGATATTTGTTAGAGTTAGATATTAGTTAGAAGATTGGTTACAAGTTTGTTAGACAAGTTGTTAGATAGTTAGACAGTTAGAATAATTGAACCATGTTTACTAACAGACGGATAGACCTCAATCTTGACATATACTCATGGGTATTTAGAGAGGGACCTCTTTTATTCTTTTATCATTCTCTAGCTTATTAGGATATAACCACTCAGATATTGCTAGAAAATAATCATCTAGGAGGAGAATATTTATAAATATAATACACTGCTTACTGTTTAATACTAATATATCATAACCACACTTCAGAATGCATCTTCTGCCCTCTACAGCTCCAACACCAAGTCTGCAGTGTAAACAATAGAACTGAGTGAGGTTACTTACGAAAATAGTTGGACCACTGTAATAATTATATCTACTTTAGTGCCTTACATGCTACAAATTTTCAGGAGGACATGATATCTGAACCCATATATGACTTGTACTAATTAGAGAATGTAAGTGTGAAACTAGATTGGGACCTCAAGTAGGATGGCTTCCCTTCATGCATATCGAGAAAATTTAGTTACATCTTCAGCAACCAAATAGTGATAATAAATTCCAGGATCTACGGTCCATAATCTAGTCTCTGTCACACTATAATCACCAGACTCTGGAATGTAGATTGGATTTTGGGATGGGAGATATATATGTAGTTACAGCTTGCATCTGTTTTGATCCAGAATTCCCTGTTCGTATTTGAATCGCTTCCACTGAGTGTGACTTGGGGTGGGTTGGAATGGCTCTTGAAGAGTCTAATGCTCTCTCGAGAGGGCTCTCTGAGGAAATATCATGATATCTTCATCTGGGAGCATTCCATCTCCATTATTGTAAACCCCCCTCATAGGTGATGTTGTTCTTTATGTCATTTTTACGAGGCTTAAGAGATTTTCATGCAGCCGTGGAGCTTTCAGGATGGACTTTACTGTGGAACATGTGGAGGATCTGTATGCAGTAATTTGTTGAATTAGGAAACCAATCAGAGAATACATAACCTGGACTTGGTAATGCATCCTGTAGGATTCAAATTCAGTGAAATACTCGGAAAAGCTTAGTGACAACCATCCGATTGGTTTATTGACACTTCACATTATGTTCTTTGTAATTGAATTACAGATGATATTGTGCTTGGAGCAATGGTAAGATGCTCGGGATGCCAAGCATGAGAACATGGGTTTCAATATGAGGGCAGCCACTTTGTGCATATTATATAGAAGATCAAGTCTGTATCCAGTCTATCCCTCCTAACATCCTCAATTATGGGGATTTTTTTTTTTTTATCTTAATGGTACCAACAAAACCACGTCTAGGAGATGCAGTGCTGTGTGTGCTCATTTCAGAAGATTTAGTATCTAAGCCTATGTTAGGTAGACACTTCAAAATAAATCAAATATCTGTATGTGTCTGACACTTTCCATCGGATGCTTCTTACATATTTATATTCAACACTATCATTATATATATATATATATATGTATATATTGTTGTATAATTGATTTAAAATAAGTAAAATGCCTTTTTGACATATGTTTCCATTTTGTCTCACATAATATATTAAAAATAATATAAAAAAAAAATTGACCTTTTTTTGCCGAGTTTGCGTACCTTAAATTTGAGATTTGTTGGGTCCTGCATTTTGATATGCATTGCGCCCAAGTTCATGTAATATAGATCTAAACTAGAAGTACACAAACCTTATGCAGTTTTGTCTCAGATGAAGCAGAGTCAACATTTCCCCCAGTCGATGTGGTGGAGCTCCGAGAAGAACCATGAACCATTCTTTTCTTCAGCATCTTTTTCATGAGGTGTATGGCTGATTTATCTGTCTCCTTTTCTGTCCGTTTTTCTCCCCTCTCGCTTTTGGCTACATAATTTTCCTCTGCTATTTTTGTCCTCTGAAACAGCTCCCCAAGCGATGTTCTATGTTCCTTCTTTACCACTGTGGTTGTTTCTGGCAACTCAATTGCTGATCCAAACAGATAGCCCTGGAGTGGACAGATTGTTGTTCCATTCTCATTGGTCTCTGTGCCTTCCAATGGCTTTCCGCTAAGTGTAATGGTGCTACCATGGCTGCTTCTTCCAGTACTAACATAACTGTTTCTTCCAGTACTAACATGACTGTTTCTCCCAGATGAGTCATTGCAACCGTCTCCTTCAGCCCCTATCACCTTCTCCAACTCATCATTAATAAGCTTCAGTTCATTCTCTGTTACTTCTGTTTCTTTTTCAGTTATGTTCTCAACTGATATGGCAAATGTTGGCGTTGATGGGTCTGTGATGACTGGGTCCGAACCAAGAGTACCTATGGTAAGGAAGCCATGGAAGAGCTCGGAAATCGCAACTGAAGATTCTTCTTCAAAGTCGTCTGCTTCTACTCTTGCTGCTTCTAGGCTGGAAAATGATTTTTGCAGATGGTTGTCTCTTTGTGCTTTGCCTAAGGATTTAGTGCCAAAATTTGACTTTGGGTAGTACTGTTGGTCATCCAGTGATGGCTGCCCTGAAAGACAAGTACAAGAATTCCCTGACAGAAGAAATGTTAAATAATTGGGATAATGGTGAGGTTAGTTGGGAGGGATGTCATGTAGGTTTGTGTTTTCAAATGCATCTCAAAAGAATTAATGGCATATTATGCTTTGCTGTTGTTTTAAATATTATGGATCATGACTCATGGGCTTGTTGATGCTTACCATTATCTCAATTTTCAGTACAGGAATCGGGAACGTGTATCGATTGGGAAAACAATTAGCATTATACTCAAAGGGAATGTCAAGTGTAACAATCTTACAGTATGTAGTTCATTCAGTTGAACTTGAAGCTGTACTCCAGCTATAAATAAGCATGCAGCATGGAGAGTTGCTAAGTACACAGGTCTTATGCAGTTAATTATTTCCAGGTATGTAACAGCTACTTTGCTTTGAAGCTGTCTTTCCTAAACAACACCTGACTTATCGAATTTCCAGTGATCTACTGATTATGCTACTAGATTATATTGGTCTTACCACAAATATTATAATGACTACTCATGATTATGTTTAATACTGCACTTACAGTCTGACTCTAATATGTGCACCAATCTTTTCATTATTGCTTTAGCAAAGCGTTAGAAGAAAAATATGTAAGGGTATACATGACTTACCTACGCTAAAATCCTTCAGTGGTTCATTCGCCCGGAACTTGCGATGCATCCAACCAAGTAACTGCAATCAAGATATATGAAAATATGAACTCAGAAAATATTAAGAACAGTTTTCATCATCCAAATTTCAACATAAATTGGAGTTACGTTCATTTTTTTGATCTTTCTTCAGAGTGCTTGATTTAGATCACTTCGGCAGTAGGAGGAAGTGAGAGACGGTGTGCTTTTCGTATTAAGGACTATGACTATTTAATGAATGTGACGCCAAAAATGTGTCCTGAAAGGCTCCAAGGACCTCAGATTAAGGCAGGTAGAGAGAAACATTGAGAAAGTTACAAGATTTGGTTGGCTATTTTGTGTCAAAATCGAATAATGTGGCCTAATGGGAAGTGGGGTCAAAGGACCCCATGAGCTCATGATTTTATCTGGCTGTGCACTTGTGAGGTTTGGTCTCCCTTGGTTTAGTAATGGTTAGCGGTTGGTCTGCACCTATCAGGACACAGTGCCTCTTATAGTTATGTGCTTGGACTTCCGTGAGCGCCCCTCATTGAGTGGAGTCCAGAGTATGTTACATTGATATTATCATGCTTATATAACTTCTTAGTTAGTATGATATGGTAAATTGGTAACATTACTAGATCTGCTATAAAAACAATTTCATAGGCTTAACAAATGTTATCTTTGGTATTTTTTAGTAACTTTTAACTATTTCATACATTCAAAAATTGTTATATATATTAACGATAGCGTTTCAACAATACATTCGATAAATGTTATTAAAAATGATCACACTTTTAATAACATCGGCAAACATAGCATTTCCAACGAATGCTATTACTTACTTTGATAGCATTCATCGAATGCTTAAAATGTGTTTTTTTGTTATATGTGTAATGAAAAGAAAAATGTTTCTCATCCAATCCAATGTCTACAAGCAAACTTGATCAATTGAACTTGTATCAATTTCAGTGTAAATATGTGCTTCCATGTAGATACATTATATTACCTATCCTGCAGAAGAAGGGAACTAGTCAACATCTTATATAAGAACTAGTTATCAAAGTTTCAAAAAGTACTGTGGAATATGCTAACATACTCAAAAGTTGAATTATGAAAAGAGATCTGTTGTGGATGTTAGAACATAGAATAAGTACATAAAATGACTATACAGGAAAGATTACAGTTGTGTGGAAGGCTTCTACCATAAATAATATGGAAAATTGTCAAATGAGATCTGTAGTTCTCTACCATCAATAATGGGATCAAATAGGAAAATGCAAATAAATAAACAATGCTCAAATTCAAAGTGGACCCACCAAATCAAATCAATTGGTTCATGCAATTAGAAGAATATAGAAGTACCTCTTAATTTGTGCATGAGCAATTAATAAAACTTGTCTGGTTGAATAAAGTACAAAAGGAATTGCAAACAAGCAAAATGATCTAATTTTTTTTTCTTAAATAGACAAAAAGTAATTAAAAAAGACAACCAAACAATTCCTAAGTTAGGAAAGGCAAAAAGATAACATGGATAATTGTATACCTCAAGAACCATGATCACAAATTGCTGAATGCTCCCACTAATGCTAGAAGATACCAAATTACAAAATGTCTATCATAGGTGGGTTTGGGAAGATTCATTACTCATAAATACTTGAGTCAATAAGCCAACTATAATGAAACATTACTTATTAGAGAACACATAAAAAGCTTTCTGACATGGACAACACAATAAAATGAATAATATATTAGCATGACATAATATTCATTCTACTTTGCAGAAAATTTATACACAACTGAGATTAGAAGAAAAATATAACCAGAAAGGCCTTTCTTCCATATAAAATAAACAACAAAATTAAAACTCTCCCCAACTTCAACAACCATGTACTTTCTTTAATTTAAAGGGAAAAAGAAAAAAAGAAAAGACAAAAACAGAGCAGCACTTTGTATCACATCCTTAAACCACATGCATTGTTCAACAGAAATTTATGCTATACAAAATCTTTAATAGCAGAAATTAATTACTAAGACTCTCTGTTGTTTATTAAAATTTTGATCAATGAAAACCACTTAAAATTCCACTCCAGTAAACCATATAGCAAATCCACTTGCTTCTATCATAGGGACGAGGGTGCCCAATGTGTTAAGGCACTTAAACCCGCAGCAATAGTTGAAGCAACTAACCCTGTTGCATTTATTGTTTGCATAACAAAGGAAACTTCACATAAGTACAAAAACCGACGACTTGGAGACAAAAATATTTCTTAAGGTATTAAGAAATGATTAAGAAATTTTAGAACATCAACAAAACATTTCCAAAATTAATAAAATAATTCAATGACCCCATAAAAGCAATGTCATAATGAAAAATTAGCAAAAATTCAAAATCTCAATAGTCTTAACGTATATGCAAATAAAATCCACATATATGCAAACATATACATTAAAAACTTACCAATTTCCCTCATATGTGCTATTTTCATGAATAATTTCCTCCTTCGCCAATTCTTCTAATATAGCACGTTGACGTTCATTTACGGCACTGTTAGAATAAAAGATGGAACACAAATGAGATTGCATTTTCCTAGTTCACTTGACGCACACTGCTTTAGTTCATTCCTTAATCAGAATTTTAAAACTAACTGGACCTGTCACCCATTACGCCCGATCCATAAATAAAAACTAAAATTATTAACCAAAACCCATTACCATTATAACAATTTCTAAACACCTGTATGGGACAATATTCTAGAAATTTTTCGAGGTACAAATGAACAATTCTGCATTATTATAACATTTGGTCTGAATAAAAAAATTTTAGTAGAGTGAGTAAGTTTTTGAGACAATTACCTTGATTTTCTCATGTTTTATGGCCAAAAAAAAAAAAAGCACTTTTGTAATCGGACTTCAGCATCTAAAACAAAAAATAAAAAATAAAAAAAAAAGCAGCTTGAATCATCACTTGTCTAGACACAGTTTACATTGATGTTGTGAAAACAAGATGAAGAATGGTTAATTTGTAAGTAGATCTTACATTTTTATTCTTTTAAACTATCACAATATTATTAGTAAATACATGAAAATTCTTAGTTATTCAATCCTTAGGCAGACAAGAAAAGAAAACTACCAATTAGATATACTTAGGGTTTGCCTCTCATAATAGTTTCAAAACCAATCTGATAAATTTTTTTCCCCCCCTAAATCAATACACGGAATTTCATCACATTTAAACCAAACCAAACCAAACCAAACCAAACCAAGCCTAGCCTTAAGTCCCATCAATTTCATCATATTTAGATTTAGTTATCATCTGCAAATACAAAATAGAAAATAACAAAAAGTCAAAGCACTGCAAAATTTTGGTGGTGAATGGCCTATTCATCAACAATATTAGTAGGACATAACACAATACAATAAGCATTGCACAGAAGCAAAGTCAAAAGGACAAGCTGATGGCCACAAATTTTGCAGAGCAGGAAAAGTTGTAGAGCAAAAGAAATTGAAACATAATTTTAACCACAAAGAAGAAAAAAGTTTTCAAGCAACCCAACTTCAGCTTCATGCTCTCCGCATTATCACCATTGCACCAAGCAATAGTCCCACTTTCCACATAATAAGTGCAGGTTGAAAATCAATAAAGCAGAGGGGGTACAGAACCATAAAGAAGTGAAGCACAAATAGCACTGTCCTACAGGAAATTGAACTATAAACTAGAGGATGGTTTTTCATAACGGTAGATGGAAAGTAGAATGGAAAGAAAAACTAAAGTTCTAAGGGAGAATAATATATAATAGATTATGGTCATTATAGTTGGCAAACATATAAAGGAAATAAGACATACTTTACAAAGGGCTCTATATTCCTTCTGAAGGCGCTTTACACATGCTTTCTCTGCCATCTAGCAGCTTCCAATGGTAAGAAAACAGCAGATCAATTCCCTAGCTTAAGTCCCCTGGCTGTCCCTTGATTTTGTAATATGTTGACTGGAAAACATAAGAGTCATTCTACAACTTGAGAATTAATGTGTGAACTAAAAATTTCTAGAGCAGAAAAATCAAGTCATGAATCTAATCAATACTTAAACAGGACAGATACTAAAAGGGATAATTTCTATTGCAAATTTCTTTGTAAAACTATATCTTATATAATGAATTATATCTCCATTCTCACTAATTTTTTAAAAAAACTTGCATCAAAATGCATCAATGGGCAAAAAGTACATGTTTTTCTGGCTCTAGACTCCCTGTTTTTTTATTATCCTGTGTTGCTTCCTCTCCACCACCTCCACCAGACCATCTATCAGAGTTCTTCATATCAAAATCTGAATACTAGAAGAATCAAGCCAAATATAAGCATGGTCAAACACATAGAAAAATCATCCATTAACCAATGACATCAAGATCCATAACCCTCAAAACAATTTTAGGAGAAAGCCATTGCTACGCTATCACGCCTATGGGCTATCCCTTCAACTATACAAATGTGAACAAACTTTATGATCTCTTGGGCTTTCTGAACCACACTTCAAAATGAATGATGCAGCAAATTCTGCAAGTTTGTACTTTTAGAAGAAGCTTTAAGGGCAATGGTTAGTTTAAAAAGGAAATTTAAGCTCCTTTAAGCATAACCCCATCAACCTCCCATCTCCACCTAGATAAAATTAAATGTTTAAACCTTAATGCAGGTGATGGTAATCCTATGATTTAGGGATCTCATGCATATTTTATTTCCTCTCTCTGAAATTGACTTAAAGATTTCTTAAAGCTCCCCATCTTTAAAAAATAAAAATAAAGAAGAAGGAAAAGGACAGTTTAAAGATGAGAGATCATTAGAAACAAGTGTGAGCACTTTCTGGGTTATGAAATTACATGCATTATTCCTTCACTGAAACAATATATACAGTTTTATCAGTTGCGACATGAAATGCCCATGGACTTAAATTCCTGCACAACCACGCATTGTAATGCCATCCAAGAGAACCACCCAAGCAAAACAAAAAATAGAACTTGCATTTCAAATATGTGATGGGAAAACTAAAACTGTGTTGATCTTGCATAAAAGCCCACAGCAAAAAATGCCAACAGCTATATTCTCATAACATTTCAAGTATTTGTACAACCAACATGTATTGCAAGTACTAGAGGAACTAATTCCAAGATTTGATATGGTGCTACAGAGCACATAACTAAGCATGTGGTATTTACAACTAAACATAAAATAATATTTTATGGTATTTATATACAACATTTAATTAAGCATGTGGTTCATCAGTTGTGAGCATCAACGGTGAAGCTCAAGAGTTAAGAGAAATTCTAAATCAGATAACCAAAATCTTTACCTTTAGAATCAAACCCAGAACTAAGTTTCTCAATCAAATTGGCACAGTTCAGTAACTAATATATACTCTTGAGATGGCCGCACAAGGTGCGTGATCTCATGCCCATTGCTGGTGCCCATTTTTTTTTAATATAAAAAAACCCATAATTTAAATAAATAAGGAACACAACTCTATTAAAATTGTTTTTTCATAACTGTTTGTTCTTATTATTACTAATATCTTAGTCGAATTCTTGACACAAGTTGGAAAAATATTAACAATTTGATGCATATATAGAGGAAAACGTTGAATTGTAGAAAATCACACACTTAATTCTAATATGAGAGTTCAACATAACCACACAAAAAACAAAAAATATATATATAGATTCCTTTTTGGAAAGAAACCAAAAATCAAATAACATAAGCTGTTAGATTAACGAACAAATAAATACGAATCAGTAGGGTGAATGGGCATAGGGTCTAAATTTGTGTTCCCAGAAAATACTAATACCCTAACAAATTATATATTAGTATACACGTTTTGAAACATGACACACTTCCATTCGACAACAGTAAATTTAGTGATCTCAAAAGTTTTGTTTAGACCATTCTCTAAATGAAGAATGATCTGAATAAAAATGTAACAAATCTGATGCATAAGTTAAGAATATGCAACTCCGTAATTAGATGTCAAAAACTACTCTAGGTTCAAAATCACACAATCCATCCTATTGTGTTAATCACTAAAATTACACAAAATTAACAACCAGCAAAGTTCAAAAGTCGTACCAATTTCGACACCGAGGCCTTGCATCCCAGAGACAAGGACGTTAGAGGTGAAGAGACGCCTCAGAGTCTCGCGTCCGTACGCAGCTAGCTGTCTGCTGTGCAGATCTTCGTCGATATCCATCGGATTCCCATTACCAAAAGCCATATCCGGCAATACTCTAATGCTAGCGCTGCTTAGGTTACTACTGCTACTACCGATAATGCTGCTATCACTCTTGTTACAGTCCTTGGGCGTGGTATTAGCTTCGGTGGCTGTTGATTTTCCGGTGGAGGATTCCGATGAAGAGATGAAACAACCGACACTATGCTTCTTGAGCAAGTTTTCTCCGTCACTAGAGTCGCCTTCTTGAACAGGTCTCTTTCTAGGAAGCATAAAGTGCAACAAACTACTAAAAGCCCCACAAAACCCCATCTATACGATCAAAAACAGAAATGAATTGAACAAATTAAGATCAAAACAGTGGTTATACACCAATCCAAAAACGATCGGTGCTGTGACAACAAACCCTAACCTCCTAAATAGTGTCATATTGAAATCGACTCGAGAGGAGAGTTGGGAAGAGAGGAAGATTAATCCAGAGAGAGAAAGGATGATTAAAAGAGAGGGATTAAAGAACTTACCGATTGGAGCTCTGGCGCGGAAAGGAATGGAATCTGAGAGAGAGAGATTGAGAGATTGACACAATAGTGTTTAGCTTTTGGTTTTGGCATTGATCGAACGGTGTTTTTACGTTTTTGACAGAATTTTTTTCAAGCGTGTTTTGTGGTCATTTGTAGAGAGAGAGTTCCATGTCAGGGATCAAGTTCCACCTGTTCATAGCTTCATCAAAAAATTCTCCACAGGTGAGTTCGCCATCTTCGTTTCGCCCACCAATCACATAGAACTTGTTGTCCATGTAACACCCTGAGAGAAAGACAGAGGGCGATGGATAGAGTCAAGGAGATTAGGGCTTTTTTTTATTTAAATTTTTTTTTCTGCTTTCATGGTATTAAACGACGTCGTTTTAAAATTGGCGACCAAATTTATTTGTCGCAAAAAAATTTCAATTCCTGCCCCACTAAAAATCAAATTTCCCTCCCAAACTTTTGGCGACCAAAAGACCATATTAGTTGCAGAAAAGGTACCTTCACCGACAAACTTTTTTAGTCGCCAAATCTCAATCAACGGCGACTAAAATATTAGTCGCTAAAAGTACAAATTTGGCGACTAATTTTTTTTAGTTGTTGAAAATAAGTTTTTGGCGACCAAATTTTTGGTCGCCAAAAAATATGTGACCTTCCGCGACCAAATTTGTAGTTGGTCGGCAAAAGTATACCACTTTCTGCGACCAACTCATTTTTTAGTCGCCAAAATATAACCTTCTGTGACCAATAATATTTGGTCGCCAAAAACAATGATCATTCGCGACTAATTAATATTTGGTCGCCAAATGTAATTTTTTTGCGACCAAAATTTTTTTGGTCGGTAAAAGTGGTCGCAAAATGTGAGAATTCTTGTAGTGATGCCTATGGTTTTGATTAGGTTATTTAGTATGAAACTTATCAATTTAAAAAAATCTATACATAGATATACACACACATAGGATCACTTGAGTGACCCATTCTTTCACTTTACTGGTGCAAAAACGACGTATTAACTGATTGAGCTAATTATGATGACTTCAGGGACTAAGATTCTCTCCATTTTATAATTGTAATGGAAGATATCCATTACATCATTTAAGGGTTGTGAAATAATTATAAGAATTTATTAATATTTTAAATTTAGAAAGAATCATTACAAATCCTTAAATAATGTAATAGAGATCCTCTATTACATCTTTGGAATGAAAATAATCACAATCCTGACTTCGTCAATTCTGCTTTGATACACTCCCTATGATAATGATCCAAAATAAATAAATAAATAAATCAACTTAAAAAAAAATATAATAAAATGTCAATTTCGTGAATGGACGAATTCAATGTCTAAACCAAGTCAATGATCTCGTGTATATCTTTATTCAGGGTAAACAGGTTTACCCCCATCATCCTATTTTTATACTCATTATTCTTATTTGGAGTTTAAATCCAAGGTTTAGTACATTCCTGGCACACATTCTTTACACCTGCACTTTGTATTAAATCTCATTTTGATCATTACATTTAAAATTATTTGCGTGTGCTTTTGGTCAAATTTCATTTTGGTCTATACATATGAAATTGTAATTGTCAACCCCTGTATTTTTGGTCAAATTTCAATTTAGTCCTTACACAAGTGTCAATATCCACTTTCTGTTATTCAATTGTATAAATCTTTAATAGAATCTAATTATATGAGAAGAATGTGATTACGACATGAAGGTAAGAGATGAAAACTATTTACATTTTCCACCAATACACACTTTGTCTCAAAATTTACATCAAATTATGACTATATTAGGCTAAAATAAAACGCAGATTGTGAATGATTATGAAGATGAACTAGGGTTTTGCATAAATTAAAATCACGAAACTCTATTTTTCATTGTGAAACAATTTTCTATCTATTCATCTTTATTTCTCTTTGATTTATTTGGAGTATTTTTTTTTATTTCAAAAACTCTATTTTCTTGTCTCTTTGTACCAATTTTTAGCATACAATATATATGTTATATTTTATAACTCTCACGTGCTTATCACGTAGGACAAAGTGTATTAGTAGGAAATATGGATGATTTTCCTCTCTTACACTCGTTTCGCAGTCACATTTTTCTACTTGATTGAATTCTATTAAAGATTTAAAAATGAAGTAACAGAAGAGAGATATTGACACTTGTGTAGGGACTAAAGTGGGATTTGAGCAAAAGTGAGGGGATTGACTATCACAATTTCATGTGCAGGGATCAAAATGTGATTTGACTAGAAGTATAGGGGGTTGACTATTATAATTTCATGTATAGAGACTAAAGTGAGATATAGTACAAAGTGTAGGGATGCAAAGCGTAATTTACCCTATATATAATACAAG